AAATTTCATTGAAATTGGTTCAGGGGTTTTGGAGAAGAAGATTTTTGAAATTTTAGTCAATTTGACCCTTTTTGGCCCCGCCCCTCAGGCCCCTGGGGGCTTAGGACTAAACCGGCAACTACTTTTGTTGACCTTTGTCCATGGAAGGTTCCTGCAAAATTTCATTGAAATTGGTTCAGGGGTTTTGGAGAAGAAGTCGAAAATGTAAATTGTTTACGGACGCATGACGGACGACGGACGACGACGGACAAAAGGCGATCGCAATAGGTCACTTGAGACTTTGTCTCAGGTGACCTAAAAAGACAACCGTCTGTTGAACAAAAGTCCAACTTACACCTAAATGTTTTTATATAGGGTTAGGTTTAGACAGGTCACAGTGTTTAATTCCGGTTTTGGTCACTCCCTGAAGAATTCTGATGGAATGTGTTGTACCTGTGAATGATGGTCCAGGATGCGTTAAGGAATCACTACTACACACCAGGGATTATAACTATTCAACTTTATTTACAAAATTAATGCATCATATTATATTTCTGGATGAACGCACCAGGAAATGTAAATGTAAACTTTATTTACAAAATCAATGACATCATATTATATCTCTGGATGAACTCACCAGGAAATGTAATCGTTATACTTTATTTACAAAAACATTTACAGATATCTCTGGATAACTCCTGTAGTGACAACATTACAAAGAGTTAATCAAATCATGGTCAAATCTGACACATCGAAACTAACTACTAACATCAATTATCATATGTCAAGTACAAGAAAATGTATTCGGTGCAACATCCATATATTTTCTATAAAAAGTTTGATCTAAAGTCAAATGCACACTCTCCTCTCCATCTTGTGTCATAGTCAAGATAAAAATTTTTTTTTTTTTTTTTTTTTTTTTTACAAGAATTGATCATTTTTGAAACTGAAGATTAAATGCTTATTAACAGGAGCCAGGAGAGGGTGTACTATCTGAAAATTGATAATAGCTAAGTACATTGTATACTACTGTTAGCTCCCAATACAAGTATTCCTGTGATAAACCATTTTTTTGTGTAAGATCAAGATCTTACTGCACAAATATGCTGAGACTTCACTATTTGACTTTTCCAGTTCAGTTACTCTTTTACAATATTCAAAGTAAAGATAACTGGACAACATCCACTGTAAGGTGATCGGCAATGCGTATTACGATGTTGACATGTTGCAACACACTAGCTGGACCGTCGTCAGAACCACAGCACACCTAGTGTGTCGAAACATGCCAACATGATAATAAATATTAACGATCACCTTACAGTGGATGTTATCCAGTCATCTTAACTTTGAATTTCAATTACTTTTCAGAATTCTATTAGGAATCAATCCTCGGAAGACTATCGAATCTTCGGAACTTTGGAACAGGGAGGTTGGATCTCATTTGCTTTGTATCTTTTACAATATTTACAGTACTCTCTTGATCTCTCATACTCACAACGAAAAGCGAAAACATTTACATATTGTTACATTCAATACTTTCTTTCTTTTGTCAATGTTTCAAAGCCATTGGATATATGATATATACAGTCATGCTACATATGTCAACAATACACAATTTCAATCTTGAAAATGATTTAGAACACAATAAAACATAAAGGAAAATACCTTTACATGGTCATCACAAAACAGTTATGAAATTACCACAATGTACATCTGTGCCATGAATTATAAATGTAAACTCGCATCATTTTTTCTAAATTTTATTTCACACTTTAATTTATTATAAGACTATATGATTGGCAACAACTTACAACTCCCAAATAGTAGTCAGTCACATTAACCAACATACATACAGTTCTAGACGTCAGGGTAAAACCACCCACAGGCGTTCCATGATAAAGATTTTTGTGTATATCTCTGCACTGTGATA